CAGCCATCTCCCCCCTCCCCCTGCGCAGCAGCCACAAACTTACTGATGCGCCTGCAGCCTCTCGGAGTTCCTACTGCTCTAAACATTAAAATAATTATTTCATTTTCTGTTCCTCACTTCTGATTACCTTCAATGATGTCTGTTTGTTGCAACCAGCAGGTACAGAAACTAACTTGTTTTTATTTGACTATTTTTCTGTCCTGACTGTTTAGTATCTTCCTGCATCTCCTCTCAGTCCTAAAGAGAAACTGCTACCTGGGTTCATATATATTCACCTCATGAGTTACCTTTGAACTGCAGTTCTAAAAGATCTACCGACCGCAAAAACAGCGGAGTGCAAGCTGGTCGCCGGCCGCATCAGTGATCGGTGCGTCACCGGAGGACAAAACAGGTGATGCGCCCCGCTCCACAGCAGCGAAAAGCATCAGGCACAAATAAAAGACAGAAAACATAAAAGGAAATGATCCGGCATGAACGATCGCGTGTTAAATTAGTTTTTGAGGTGGCGACACCTGATTGATAATGTTACTGTGGCCGTGCTCGGGGCGCAGATGTCTGGAGCGCGACAACAATCAGAGCTTTGCATGCGCAAGCAGGTTAAGGTTAGGATGGGGGTGAGGGGAAGGTTAAATTGCAAGAGGGTAAACGTCACAAATTGGTTAAATGTCCGTTTTACGGCGGGTGTCAGTACCGACGCTCTGGCACAGCGCGTTGCCTCCCTATGCGCAGGAGCTTGTCACCTGCTGACAGCAGGCTGCTGTCTTTTTTGAGGACTGCATCTTGCCGGTCATTATCACGTGACAGCGACTAGTCGATGACAGGCATAAAAAGTCACTATAGTGAAGTCGACTAGTTCATACAACCCCTGCTACTGCTCCCCAGAGTGTTCTGCAGCATAATCAGCACGTTCTCTTTGAACTTGATATCAAATTTTCGCCGCCTCTTCGTCTCCGCACCTGCCATGGTTAAAGTTACCCTCGCGGTCTATCACTGGCAAATCAAAAGTGAGACGGATGAAAACCCCCCCCCCCTGGTACTTGCTTGTTACCACATTCCACCCGGCCACAATAAAAAAAACGGCCATTATTCACCTCCGCCGACTCCGACACCGGCCAAAATATGATACCCGGCCATTAATTGAATACAGGCCAATATTAGAGGATTTACGGTAGTTAAGTACAGTATCTGACCAGTAGAGGGCTGCACAGTGGTGTCAAATATGAAAATTGTCACGTTTCTAACCCAACAATCACCGAGATCAATGTTAAAGTTCTAGCTCAATATTTGAAAAAAAAAATACTATTTAGTGTTACTTAAAGGTGAATGGAAGACAAAGAGCAGCTGAGATTGTAGATGGTACGTGCTGACTCTAAGTAGAAAACACATCTGGTTCCTTAATGTTTTGTGGTAAATCACGATTTCCACTGGTTGAAAACAGCAGCTTATACGGCAGCCTATCAGCTGATAACAGACAACTTTGATGAGCCATTTCCCCTTTAGCAGAATGATCACCTTTGCTCTTCGCGCCTTCTCATTGTTGCAGAGTACTTAGTGAGACAATCCACTAAACAATGATAGTCACCTCCACCCTCAGTCATTCAGGAGAATGAAAGTCAGAGAAAAGTCACAGAAAGCCACACGTCTTATCCGACTAGCCTTTTAAAGGAAGAACAAAAGGTCTTTCTCCTTCATTTCCCATTAACCTCCATGCTCCTCCGCACACAGGAAACATGGCAACCTCAGTGGCCCATGTCACATATCTCACCCGGCTGAGGGGAAAGCTTCCTTTGGTGGATAGTGACATTCAATATGGGGTTTTTTCTATCTAGCTGTAGTCCTTGACAGATAAAAGGTGGGTGTTGATATTTGTCCCTGGTCTCTCTGATACCAAGCGGATCCACTCCTGATAAGCGCAGAGCTGCTAAGACATTGATGAAGTCTGGAGTGGAACTGACAAGCTCTCTAAGTGGATAAGAACGTCAGGAGAAGCAGGCTGTTATGGTCCGGATTAGATTTTTGATTGTGCGACGCAGGTGGGTTCACGCCAAGCAGAGACACATCAGCACTCTAGCAGGCCGAGTTCGGCATCGTTTCCACGTGTCATAATTACATTTGAATAATTTCTAGTTTTTCATGGAGATTTGCTCCTATGCAGCATATTCCACTGACATCTATTTATTTCGGCTTCCTTTCCTGTGGACTTCATTAGTTCTCCACCGCTCCACGCGCTCCCGCTAATCCACAGAGTCCCACACATATTCTCATTTCAGAGTGATAAACACGAAACACCGCTGGAACGAAGCTGGTGAATTATGAATATGAGACAACAGAGATGAATGACTTTTTGTTTGTTTGTCCGGAGTGTCTACCCATAATGCCTCAGCACATGAAAACTCAAGGAGAGGAAAACTCTCTGCCGGAAGCAGAGCCTTTCAACCGAGCATCCGTGAATGTTTAATTAATCAGTAGCGACAAAAGGGAACAACAATCAACAAAGAGATGCCGATTTCCATTCCTTATGCGTTATTCCCACTGGCAAATCACAGAGCGCTGTCATCTACGCCTCTGCTCTCTACCCCGTCTCTACGGTTGTCCCTGCTCTGCTCCGACAAAACCCTTAGAGAACTACAGTGCTGTTCACCTGACATCCAACAGAGAGCAGCGGGCATCATCTAACAGAGCTCAGACAAAAAGACTTCACTGTAACTCTTTGTTTACATGGAAGCTTTTAGTGTCTTCTGTTCCTTTTTGCTTCCACCAGCGCAGCGGCTAATAAGAATCATAAGTAGCTGCAACTAAATCGTGGCAGCCTTGAAGAAAAAGTCATCCAGAAGGGATTTACCAAACAGATTCCATTACATACGTAACACCATCTGCCCTTGCATGTTATGTCAGCTGCATGACAGGTAACAAGAGGCAGCACGATGAGGAAACACAATAACAAGCACACACCGCCCGGCAACAGCTCAGCACTCTCGCTGAGCTCCACCAATGTCAAAACGGCATAAAGACACTCTGATCTCCTTCAGGCTACTGATGGAAGCAGTTTTCTACAACACCCCTGCTGCTTCAGGGTCAGCAGCGACATTGCCTTGAAGAAAAGGGTTACCCTAACTACCGACTGGCTTCTGTCAAATACCTATAACCGTATTTTAATTTTACACAGTGGGGATGTAAGAGTACATGAACCTCTTAAGGCAACACAGCAGAAACGTGAGCTTGTTGGGGGGTTATAAATGATAACTGGTAGCAGTTATGGCACTTTTAGTACTAGGTGTGTTCTAATTAGATTTTTGGCATGAAGGATGTAACGGTACATGTATATGAACTGGAGCATCATGATAAAGACAGCAGGGACGAGTGCAGGCAAGCAGGTAACAAATCCATCCATCCATTTTGTATTCCCGCTTATCCACGCAAAGTCGAACCCCAGACCTTCTTGCTGCTGCACTGTGCAGTCCAGGTAAAAATGCATTAGTCAAAGCTAATCAGCATCCCATCTCTTATTAATTGCCATTTTCTGACTGCCACAACAGCTTTGGAGTGAAAAAATAGTTGTTTTCCAAAACACTCCCCACCACAGCTAAGCATCAACTACTTGTTCTGATGATTCACCCGAGCTCGAAGACCTTCCTGCGTCTCTCAAATTAGCAGTGTAAAGGACTTGTCTTGGTGATCCTCGGCAGAGAGCACTATAGCGAGAGCTGGATTTATGTAAAGTCAAAGAGATCATAATTTGAGTTTAAAAAACCAAATGGGTCACAGTTTGAGTGCTTTGAAAACATCTTCGGTGACTCATAATCTTTTAAATACAGCACCACACATTTCACAAATGCCACCTGAAGGAAAAGAAGAAATTCCTGCATTTTTGCACTTGATTTTTCCGGTTGTGCTGCACGTGCACCAAACCCGGAGTCCAAACCATGACTTGTGCAGAAACAGAATAATGGAGGCTATGAGGTACGGGCCATACTGTGTTTGTAGTTGTATGTCACGTCAAAGCTACAGTCATTATCTCAAAAAAGTAGTTTAGTAGTACAATAGTTACATTTCTAAATTGAAAAATGTTTAGAAAGTAAATGTTGGATAAGAAACTTGGCAAATATCAAACACAGGTAAGCAAATAAGCGCATCGATTACAAAGACGTTTCTAAAGTGTCTTGGACACGTGTGAGTTGATTTTGCTGCTGATTCTGCTCCATTGTCTGTGATTTGCATGCAAAATAGGAAGTATGTTTCAAACTACCAGTGGACAATATTACGGAGGAGAAAACTTGCAGCTATGCAAGGCCAGTTGAAATGTTCCAAAAGTGTAGTTTCCTACAGCGGTCACCGGTCCGGCCCTTCTGCTGTGCAAGCCCAGTTTCAGTTCTACATTACAAACAAATGCAACACGAGGTTTTCGTGTATTTTACTGTATCATGTACCAAATGTTGTTCACTGTGTGCGTGGAGACCAAATGTGACACTTGTTTTTGACCAAACCTATATTAAATCACATGAGAACAGACCTATTTGTATTTTTCAGCTCAACACATTCTGAGCATGCATGAAGAAGACCCAACGCGTCTAGTCAAGTCCTGCTAATTTTAGATAGTTTCTATTTACTTCAGGTCATCTATGTTAAGATGTTTTTACTTTAGTCATTATAAAAGAAATACCAATGAAATGAAACCGTCAGTTCTTCCTAAATACGTCTGACAAAAGAAAGAAAAAGGTCTGAGGGATGTCTGCAGACTGAGCGTTGGCCCTGCCTCTGCTTGTGAGGTCGTTGCACTAAGAAATGAATCAAAGTGCAAGTTGTTTTGATTTATCGTTCTTGTTTTTTCAATTGCCAAAAATGTTCATTCCAGATAAGCGTGTAAATACACCCTCTCGTTTCCTCTGGTTCTGATTCATACATGATTGTTCTGTGATAGCTCATTAGAAATGAGCTGTCTTGGATATCTCACACACTGATTAGGCGGCTGTGTGGGGTGGAGGGGAGGAACGAGCGCTTACCAACAGCAGACATTTCTGGAACCGATGCATGGTAAGGACCTTCGATGAACTGTGGCGGATTGTCGTTTATGTCCTGGACTTTGATGATGAACTCGGACGGTGGCTCCAAAGGCTCGTTGTTGTCAGCGTCGACAACCTGGGCTTTAAGCGTGTACTCGGCTTTCTCCTCGCGGTCCAGTCTCTTCATAGCGTGGATGTCCCCCGTTAGCTCGTTGATGGCAAAGATGGTGCCAGCTCCTTCTCCTGAAAGAACATATTTGATGTTCTTGTTGCCAACGTCCAAGTCTGTGTGTAGCTGAAACGACAAGAAGAAACCAGACAAGTGAACGTGTTAAAGTGTGCAGCGTAGTTCTTGGTTCGGTCAAACTTTGTTCCAACGCAAGTTCAAGTTTTAATGAATGCTAGTTGACATACTCAGCATTTTCAAACAGCTCTCATCATGCAAAAGCAGATAAGTGTTCCACATGGCAGTAATGTGTTGTTGCTGCTGCACTCTGCACAAAAAGGGTATCATTTACACTAAACGTGGCTGAACTTAGCCTTTACTTTGCTAAATGAGGCCCACTGGGGACAATAAGTTTGTAACTAGCGCAGGAAATGGACCGTAGCCCACATGGTTTCTTATTATGCATTACAATGCATCATACAAACAACCAATATTCAGCATATTGCTCCCAGAAGTCTTAAATCCACAGAAAAGAAGCTGGATGTGCTTTGAATGTACACTCCATTGGATGGCAAACATCCATAATCAGTGAAAAACGATGTAAGAAACTTTATACGCTTCATTCTCACAAACAACTATCCTTACAGCGGTTAGATGATGCAGCATGCTCCTCGTTATTTTTGTAATTACAGTTTCATTAGTTCACTAAAGCTGCATTACATGCTAAGCTGAGGAGTTAGATCCCACTCGCTGCACGGGCGGCTATGACTAATGAGTCTGACGGTGCTACGTAAGGCTGTTCAGACATCGGTGGACAGGAGAGCAGGCAAAAGCCTCTGCTGGGTTGAGTTTGAAAAATTGGGAGGAATTTGCAGGGTTGAGGGTACAGTGGTGTGGAAAGAAAGAGATCAGAGAAAAAGACGGTGTTGTTACAACCGAAGCAAAAGAAGAAGTTTGATTTTATTCCCATCAGTAGACAGAGACGCAGCTGTAAGTCACCTTTCATATAAGCCTGCTGATCCCTGAGGTGAGTGACTTTTGGAGGCAAGAGGTGAGGCAACATTCACAAATCCCGCAGTGCTTCATGATGTCGGGGTTGTCACACATCATCCTTTCAGGGTGTGTTTTTGTTAATACAAACACAGCCATGCACACACACACAGGCATGAATCCAAACATCTGATTTCAGCAGCTTTAATTTCATTTCCTGTCCCGGCGCTGCAGCACGGATTCCTGCGGGAGCGTAGTCTGGCTGAAGTCTGCTGGTGAAAAGCCCGACCCCAAAGCCCCCCGCAATGTTCTGAAGAGCGAGCTTTTATGCATCCACTGTCTCCGAGGTGTTGTTTGAAGACACTGACAAAGCACATTCGCTTAAATTGTCACACCTTGCACTTTTGTTTTCCTAATTGTGCCATCATTTCACATGAATGATGGAGCTCATTAACACAAATGCCTCGCAACATCCTGCACACTGAGAAACTCCAAATGAGCTCAAATTAATGATGGTCTGTCTTTTTTTTTCGGTTTAATCTTTGAATTTTTTGATGTGTTTCTTCTTGTGTATAATCAGTTATTTCAATGTCACAGATTTCAAGGTAGAGCTTCAATGTACCATGAATGCATTCAGCAATCTGGTCATGCTTTTACATTAACACTGATGTGGGAAAGACAAGATATTCCAACAAACGTACGGTCAGTTGAAACATTTAATTCACTCATGAATTCATTTCCCAGAGGTGCTGAGGCTGGCGGACATTTTGTGCATTTACTGTTTCATAAGCAACTTCAGTCTGCTGATTAAAACTCCCAAGAGAAACCATGCAGAAACCTTGTAAACAAAAAGGTTTGTTGTTTCCAAAGTCAAATTGAATGGATGAAATAATTTCAACATTTTCTATTTTAGTATTACAAACCCAAACCCAATACTCACACTGCGCCCTACAGTCTCCTGTGAAGTGCACTAGGAGGAAGTGTGCAGTAAGACAATGAGTGTGTGGTTCTTTGGGGCACAAGTGTGCAAATAGTTGCCAAATTGGGACAGTGAGCATTGCGCCATCAACCATGACCCGTGTCGCAATGCTGGTTGCTGTTCAAGCTACTTAAAAAAAATAATAATTATAATATATATATATATATATATATATATATATATATATATATATATATATATATATATATATATATATATATACATATATATATATATATTAAAGGAGTCATCACCTGAAATTTTCACTTTCCCACTTATTAAAAATTTGTATAATGGCATCCTAATGATTTTTCCCGGTAGCTGCTATTTACCATTTTTACTCTTCGCTTCTTCAACCAGCCCACGTGCACCCCACGAGCAAGCTCTCCAAAACATGATCTTGTTCTGGCCCTGATGTTGTCACAAAGGCAGGATGCACAGTACCATTTATGGACAGTGCAGAGCAACGCCGCTATAGCCCGCACTGCCCCGCTTCCCCTCAAATTCAGTCGAGCGCCGCCATTACTGAAATCGGGATAGCGGAAAATGTCGAAGCGAGTTTCACTTGTGAGCTGCTCAGTTGTTGACTGTCAAAAACTGTTTTTTTTTTTTGCGTTTTTGTTTTTTACCGTGTCCTGTTCAGCTGTGATGCAATCAGAATTGAGACAGACAAGCCTTGCAGTTTTCCTCTCACAGGTGGAGAGTTAAAGCTTCTGCTGTAATGCCACGCCTGATACCAAAACTGTTAGAAATATTCTCTGTTGTTTTAAATCCCAACAGCCACGGAGACAGAAGTGTTAGAGAAAGTGGGACAGAGGTAGAAGATGGCAGGGGGGTGTTACACAAATAAACAATATATGAAGAACAAGAATCTGCTTCTAGACCTGCAGAAAGAGAGGGAGAGCGAAAAAAAGGGATGCACAGAAATACAACAAGACCCAAATATCACTCAGTCAACAACAAGAGAACATATGTAGCAGTGAAGTAAAAGTAAGTATCTTTGCTGGGAAACACACGGTAATAACTCATAGTGTGTTTAGTGCCAACCACAGCCACCACACATGCCCAAGTCCATCCTATAATAATAATTAAAGGTGAACTAATTAATTTACACATTATTAATGTACATCAATGCAGACTTGTGCGAAGGGCAAATCAAGGGCGCAAAAAAAGGTGTGGTCATCTTCTGCACTTGATAATCGGGACACCCTATGGACCTACACCCCTGGACTGGAACACACAATTGAAGGGCGCTAGGGTGGAAGTACAAGTATTGGGATTGGGCCATAGTCTTGTTTTATTTTGTCCTTTTGAGACACCTACCTACAGTTTATCAGGATTGAGTGTCAGAATCTGCTCCTTCTCCCTCTGATGTGTTGTCCTGTCTCCCCTCGTTAAGTGTTTATTGGACTCACCTGCCCCTCGTTATTCTACCTACCCGGTTCATGATTCTCCTCATGTATTTAAACCCTCTGTGCTCGTCTTTGTCAGATCCTCATCTCATCTTCCTGTTGTGTCTCTGACTCGTGATCCTGCTCACCTGCACTTGGGTCTGATTGCAACCATCACCATTTCATGGCACGGAGAAGGGCTTTGGTTCTTTGAATTCAACATTTTTCAAAGCAGTCCCTCAATACCATGAGACTGAGTGAAGTATAAAAAATGGTTGGATTTAAAAAAGGGAAACATGTATGTAGATTTGCTTTAACAAATGTAACCAAAAGCCCACTGAGACCAAAACAGATATAAAAAAGATTAAAAAAAAACACTTCAGCGTTCCAAGAACTGAGTATTTTCAACAGAGTTACATCTCTGTGTAACTACATCTAAATTGGTTTTAAAGTCTGAATTTAAATGTATCTCAGTGGAAGTATGAAGTTTCGTATCTAACTTTTTTTTTTGTTTTTGTTTTTTGAGGCAGGGGCTAAAGCCCCAAAACGCCCAGTATGGGCATGGTTATGGTCCTACATAGTTTTAAATCCCTCTGCACACCGCTGGACAAGACGGGGTTAAACAAATCCAATTTAGTTCCAAGTCAGAACCTTAAAATCTATCAGTCAAGCAAACTAAATGAAAAGTGTTTACCTAACGACTAATACGTCTAAATGAAACAGAGAGGTAACTGAATAAACAAAAGCAAAGAAGAATGAATAAAAATAACGAATGAAACAAACACTCGAGTCTTATGGAAGTGCGGTAATTGAAACTAAAAAGATGGCAGGAAGATGACTGTTAGCTCACATGTTACAGTTTCAGTTCTGTGCCAGCTGCACGCAGCTCTCAGGGTCGGTGAAGACCAGCCAGTCAAGACTGAGTCACATGGTCACAGCTGGATGCCACATCTCTGCACAGCAATGTCCTCTTCCTAAATATCTTTTATATTTTTTAATAAAAACTGACATATAGGATTGCTGTTGAATTGATGGTTAGGGTTATCTGACCCTAGCTCTGACTTTAGTGAGTCCATTACAGGATTCTTGTGTCTTTGTTACCCTGTTACAAGCCTTCTGCTGTGTCAATACTTACCCCATGCTCGTAGGTTAAACTCCACTTTCATTTGAGGACAAGTAATCTCACTGCTTTTAGCAAAAGAATCTGACCATTTTTCTCCTTGTCGTCACAAACAGAACACGCACCATTACACACAGCAAAGAGCTGTAACGTGTAGGCCACAACACATTGAGTGGTGGGGGAACTTTCTGAAAGCTGTTATTTTCCTCCCCATTGTGACGTGACTTAGAACCCAGTAAAGCTGCCTCTGTGGCTCAGCGCCACATTACAGCCAACTAAAGCACCCTCCCATACAAACGGGCGCGCCGTGCGCCGGCTTTTGAAAATGAAAAGTCACACGTTCCGATATGATTTGGTCTGAAGCTGTGACTTGACTGAAAGTTGAGGCGAGTTTGCTGTAACTAGCCACAGCTCTCGACTCTCCCCTGCATGCCCTGGTCGCCCACTTCTTAGACAGCCTTCAGTCTGGAGGGCCCAAATGGTCGTCAAAGAGTACAATTACCGACAGGAAAAGAAGACCGTCACAGGTCCTAGTCATTAAGCACGTTGCCGAGGCAACCCAAACAGTGCCAACAACCAGTGACATTAGCTCTGGCATCCAGGAAACAAGAAGATAATAGATAACAACATGCAGGCTGAAGTCGGGATG